CAAATTTCACGCACCAGCGCATGAAAGCTGTATTCGAAACCTTGAAGGGTGAATATCTTTCCATGATTCCCAGTTTATCTTCCAAAATTTTTACAAGGTCGTAAGTGAAACCCGAGAGCGCGGGAAAGCTGAATTTGAATAGGCAAGGTTAAGCATGGGCAGGGATCATTACACTAAAATTTCAGCTTTGCAGACTTTGTGGTCCCCAAGATAATAATTTATCCGTCAAAAATTTTCACTGGGCGGTACTTGTTACCCGCGGGCAGGGAAAAGTTGAATTTAAATTTTCTGGCTAGTACCTAGACGGGGGACGTGCTCACAAAATTTCAGCCTTTTACCTTCCATACTTCCGGAGATATTGATTTTACCCAAAAAACTTTTACGAGACCGTACGTGTTACCCGCGGGTACGGGGGGGCTGAATTTAAATTTGCCGCATCACCCGTTGACGGGGAACATTATACTAAATTTTCAGCCGCCTAGCTTTTGTGGTTCTAGAGTTGAAAGTGCGGGACAAAATGTGACACACACACACACACACACACACACACACAAACACACACACACACATACACACACACGCACACACGCACACACACGCACGCACACACACACACACACACACAGACAACCCCGTGACAATATGCGTTTTGTACTGCTGTTACACAGCACAAAACACATAAAAAAAAGGCCAATTTGGTGTAATGCATTGTTAGTTGTAGGTATGTGGTGGTGATGTGGAACTTAGCATCTGGCATCTTGGCTCGCGTTCACTGGCCTCAGTTTTGTCATGTGGACGGCCACCTCATTTCCGCCATATTGTTGCAAAGATGAACGGTGAACGAATTTTAGCAGGAGGGAGCAGTGATAGTGTAATGCAGGTTAGCAGCTCATGATTCGCTCCTTCTATAAGCACTTGGCGCTTCTGCTGTCATACTGCGCTAGTCCATTCAGAGCTGGTTGCCATCATCAGTTTGATGTCGAAAATGTAAGGGGGGAAGAAGTCTTTTAGCTTTTTTAACTTGCAATTTCGAATATTAAAGTCGGCCCCCTGTACATTATTATTACGTACGAAAGAATGGAATTGAGGAGTGCAAAAAAGTGGGCAAAAAAATTTTCAAGAATATTGTTTTCATTTTAAGGACTATACAAGTTCCTAAAAAATATTTTCGGCGCCATCGTAAAATGCTGGATTGGAGTCATTTGGATTAATCAAGTGCTCAAGTGTTTCTTCATTATTCGCAACTTCTTCCTTGCGGTCCTTATATATTGTTTTTAGTTCGATTACACAGGACAGCACGTAACGTCGGTAAAAACACCGCTGTCTTCCATATATTCCATTCAGACGAATTTGTCAATACCGAATGGAATGACAGCTGTTGCGGGCGACTCACCGCTGATCAGTATCTTCCTAAACCTCGGCTACGTTGCGTTCAATTTTTCAGCTGCATCAGATCATACTGTGCCGCAGTAATTCTTGTTAAAGTTTATTTACCAATATTCACTCGTTTTTTCACATTGTTGCATCTTCCGCGCTGTGACTGTTTATTGTTGATAATGCCGGTTCCCACCTACTCAGATAATAGAGATGGATAGCTCTCGCATAGAATCAGCTTTTAGTTTTCATGCACGACCCAGGCTGGAACGCGCCAGGCGGGCCGGTGCGATTACGCGTTTTTGCACTTTTCGTACCGTAGCAAGATCGCAAGAACTCAAAGTAGCTAACCCCATGAAATACTGACCCTCGAAGTTTGGGAAGTTAATTGTGCAGTTATATGATACGTCAGTTGTGGGTGTCGACTTCAGTGACCCGACAAATGGAAAGTTGCTGGCCCGCAAAAAAAGCCACGCTAGAAGAGTTGAATTTAAAATCTTTTAGTCGCACATGAGCAGGGAATATACTCTTAAAATTAAAGCCTTCAGCTTTTCCCGTTCCCGAGGTAGCAGTTTTCCCATCAAAATTTTCACGTGTTCGTACGTGAGTGCTGAATAGTTCTAAGGAGCTAAATTTGAAATCTTTTGGTCGTACATGAGTGGGGAACACTCCCCTAAATTTTCAGTTTTCTAGATTTTCTCGCTCCCGGACTAGTGATTTTCCCGCCAAAATTCCCGTGTGCCCGTACGTGGGCCCTGGGCACTTCTAAACGTCTGATTTCGGTCATACGTGAGTATGGAACACTCCCCTAAAGTTTCAGCTTTCTGAATTTTTTCGTTTCCGAGTTAGTGATTTTCCCGCCAAAATTTCCATGCGCCCGTACGCCGGTACCGGGCCCTCCAAACAGCTGATTTTGTTAGTACATGAGTAGGAAACATTCCCCTAAAATTTCAGCTCTCTAGCCATTCTCTTTCCCGAGTTGGGAATTTTCCCGCCATAATTTTCACGTGCCCGTACGTAAGCTCCGGCAGTCCTGGGCAGCTGAATTTGAAATCTTT